TGTATAATTTCAGGAGGGATTTATTCCAAGGCACCTTGGTTGCTATTGTAAATTGTATCTTTGGAAATCACATATTTGATGTTGGTGTTTAAAGGAAACACATTTGAATTTTTTTGTGTTGAACTCATATCTGCCAACAATACTGAAATCATAAGGTTTCCAGTGGCTTTTAGAATCAATTTCCTTTTCTTTATTGACAGTCATATTGTTTGTAAATAATGAACATCTTTCTGTTCAGATCTTAACACTTTTTCTTGTTCTACTGTACTAGACAGGATCCCTCATGGAATCAACATATATATATATATTGGGCATTTTTGTTTTGTTTCTGACTACTAAGAGATCTGTTTGTATTTTGAAAAGATTTGATCTGTGGACTGGGGTCTCGCTACTTCTCAGTTTTGCTAACCATATCTTCTTCTGTCATAAGATTTTGTTGGTATGGGTATGGCCATTCTTTGCATCAATGCATCGTCAACTTTTGCAGATCCAAGTTTTCTCTATTCTCTTCTGGTCATTTTTAGTTTTTTTCTTGACGATCACTATCAGCACTGTGAATTGGATAAAAGACTAAACATTTATATTGATTTCTCACTGAATTTATTAAAAAATTGTCAACCATTCCCCTCAGCACTGCTTCAGCAGTCAGCTTGGTCTGACTGTAGACCAACCAGTCAGAGATGGCTGAAGATTATAGAGATGGCTGAACCAGAAGCTGTGGGGCCAGGCAGGTATCCTGTGAGTGAAGCAGTCCAGATGGGCACCAAGGCCATCTGAAGAGGGCAGCCTTTATTCATTCCTGGCAGATTATTGCCAGAGAGGGTTATTAGAATTGGTAAGTTTGGCATCTCAGTCTGCATTTTTTTTTTCTCAGTCTGGATTTTAACGGACAGAGTTTTGGAATTTACACTATTATTAAAAGGCTAGTTAGGAGACTGTGTGGGAGGCGTGATTTGAGATAGCCTTTGAAAAAAGAAGCAGGTTTTGGAGAACAAGAGAGAAAAAAAATCTGTGACTTAGAATTACTGTTCCTATGCACAGATGAGGAAACTAGGCTCAGTCACGGAAGTGAATTGCCCAATGTCACAAAGCTTGTAGTAGTTAGAGTGAGTAATAGTCGCTTAGTTGTGTCCAACTCTTTGTGATTCCATGGACTGTACCCTGCCAGATTCCTCTGTCTATGGAATTCTCCAGGCAAGAATACTGGAGTGGGTTGCCATTTCCTTCTCTAGGGGATCTTCCCAACCGGGGCACTGAACACGGGTTTCCTGCATTGCAGACAGATTCTTTACCATCTGAACCACCAGGGAAGCCTACTATTAAGAGACACTTATAAGTATAAACACAAGGAGGCCAGGAGTGCTGCAGTCCATGGGATCTCAAAGAGTCGGACACGACTGAGTGACTGAACTGAAGTATAAACACAGGTCAAAAAAAAACAAAAACAAAAGCAAGTCATCTTAAAAAGTTACTAGCAGACACATGCTTAACTTTATCTTATAATCTATAGAATATGGAATGAATCCATACTCCTTTCCCAAAGAAGTGCCTGACAGGAGTAGCAATAAAGTTATAAATGATAATGACAATCATCAATCAGATGTAATAATTCAGACGAAGCTTATCTCTCTCGAAGCAAGTGGGAAAGTGGTCAGGAAGGAAATACAATGTGCTTTTAACTTTGTATGAAAAATAATGTTCAGTTCCATGTTGTTTAACATAGTGCTGTTTTTCGATTGTCAAAATTTGTGCCCCCATCAACTATATAAGCTCCAAAGCCACATACTGACAAGAAAGGCTGTTAAAATTTATTTAGTTAGACACATTGAGTTACTACTGCTGTTTGGAGTCTGTTTCTGAAGACTTTCCATTATAGGTTAGTATAAATTTTTTCAGGTAAGAAACTTGGTTTCAACAGTTATAGTCCTAAAAGTATTTCCCCTGGGATTTTTTCCACATAGAGAAGTTATCCATATAATTATTTTTAAATAGTCTTCCTAGCTTTGGGAAGACTTTGCCCTCCCTCCAACACACACACACACATACACATACACACACACACATAACCATAATGCGCGCGCATAACCAAATCAGCTGTAAAGTACAACACACAGAAATGACTGTCGGCCTCTTGTGAGGACACTGAATGCCATCTATCCCATAGGTCAGTCAACAATCTGCATGTGTTCCTGAGGAGAAATCAATGGAGTCCCTAGGCTGTTGTGGCTTCTCCAAAGACAGCCCTTCCCCCAACAGTTGTTCTGGACTTTATCCACCATGCTCATCTCATCTGCATTTCAATGCTTCCTCCCACTCACCAGTCAATCCAAGAGTTCTTCAGAGGGACTTCCCTAGTGGTCCAATGGCTAAAACTCTGCGTTCCCAATGCAGGGGGCCCGGATTCCATCCCAGGTCAGGGAACTAGATCCCACATGCTGCAACTAAATATCCTGTGTGCTGTAATTAAGACCCTAACACCCACTGCTGACAAAAATTAAAAAAAAAAAAGAATTCCCGGGAATTGCTGGAAATATTGATTGCATTTTACTTCGAAAGTCTTTCATCTGCTTCAAAGTTATTGTGAAGATTAAATAATCTGCTATGCCTAAATGTCTGGTACAATGCATTGTGAACTCCCAAAGTTTTCCAGCTGTGAAGCTGATCACAGCAACCCCACACCATGCATAAGGTGAGCCCCACCCCAGGGCTCGAAAGGTAAGGGAATACTTACTCTCCAGTAAGAATGCCTGGCCTTGTTGAGCCATTTAGGACTTTGTCTTTTAGCCAAGAATAATGTTGTAACAAATCCAACTAGCATTCCTATTGCAGCATCAGTACCAAGGAGAATTCCACCTTTAACCAGGAAAAGCCAGTCATCAGTGGATACTAGAGCCTCCAGCTGGTAGGACAGCTCTGCGACCCCAATGACTTCTGTCTCCATGTTTATCTAGTCTCTTTTCCTTTAAGGGCATGACCAAAAACTGCACATGTTTCTTCTGCTCACATTTGCCAAAACCTAATCACATGGCCTCATGTAGCTACAAGGGAGGTTGGGAAATGAGATCTTTATTTTTATTTATTTATGTTTTCTTTATTATTTATTGAAGTATAGTTAATTTATAATATTGTGTGCTTTTTGCCATAGCAGTCTCTTCTGTTGACCACAGTGTGCAGTGCTATTTAAAACACTTTCCTGTGATTTCTAAGAGAGGGAGAAGGTTGGGAGCTCTGGCCTAGTGTTCACTCTCTCTTTTTTTAAAATAGATTTTTCAACATATAGAATGATAGTTTTAAACAGTTTTATTTCTTTATTTATTTTGGCTGTGTTGGGTCTTAGTTACAAGATGCAAGATCTTTTGTTGTGGTGTGTGGAGTCTTTAGTTGTGTTATGCAGGCACCAGAGCATGCAGGCTTCAGTAGTTGCTGCACATAGGCATCTCTAGTTGCAGCTTGTGGGTTCTCTAGTTGCTCCTTGGCATGTGGGATCTTAGTTCCCTGACTAGGGAGCGAACCCACATCTCCTGCATTGCAAGGCAGGTTCTTAATTGCTGGATCACCAAACCTTGTGTTCTATGGAAACATTTCCCTATTGAAATGTGACTGATTTCATATTATTTGCTCCTTCCAAGTTATTTTTTTAAACAGGAAGGCACTTTTAAATCTGTGCTCTATCTGGCAAATCTGAGGTGTGGAGAGAGAACTGGAGTGGGGTAAGGGTGGGAGCTGGTACTTGTAGTCTTGGAGTGAGGGGGAAAGTGGGGTGTTTGTATGGGTGGTGGTGGGAGTAAGCAGTCCGACTCGACATTACATTGAAGGTATTGCTGACAGATTTGGATGTGGGAGGAGAGATGAGTCAAAAGATGAGTTAAGAATGACTCCAGGGGAATTCCCTGGCAGTTCAGTGGTTAGAGCTCTGCACTCTCATTACAGGCCACAGGCCTTCTTGGTTGGCGAGGGGGGGGAGACTCCAGGAAGAGAGTTGCCACTTTGAGTTGGTTCTGGGGAAATATTGAGTGTTAGTTGCCTCTCAGGTACCCAAATGGAGATGCTAAGTAGGCAGCTGGATGTATGTGACTGGAAGAAGATGGAGAAGCTGGGGGTGTGAGTCTAGGAGGCATCTGGGTAAAGATCGCATCTGAAGTCACAAAACTGAAAGGGAGCACGAATGGAGAGAAGAAAACGAGAGGGCTGAGTCTGAGTCCTGGGGCAACCTGGGAGTAAAGGGTGAAAAGGAGAAACCAGGAAAAGAGAAAAAAAGGAGGTGGGGAGCAGCGCTGGAGAGTGGTTTCCAGGACACCATGTTTAGAAAATGTGTCAAGGAGGGAGTGATCAGCTGTGTCAAATGCTGCAGATAGGCTGAGGAAGATCCTTACAGAGAAGTTTAGCAAAACGGAGCTCACTGGCAGCGCTGACAGTGGCAGTTTCAGTGGAGAGGTGGAGAGTGAAAGCCTGATTGAAGATGCAAAAAGGAATGGGAAACAGAAGGCAAACCTCTTTAGAAGTTTTGCCTTAAAGTGAAGCAGAAATGGGAGGGTAGCTGGATGGGAAGTGTTCGCTTTAACAGAAGAAATTAAAATACGTTGGTAAAGCAGTGAAAATAATACAGAGGAGAGGGTGATGGAGAAAATGGGGGAAATTCCTGGAGGAACGTCTTACAGAAAATGAGAGAGGACAGGCTTCAGTGCACAATAGTAGGAATCGAGGTCAGCAGGCAGTTTACACAGTCTCAGCAGGGAGGCATGTGGGTGGGTGAATGAGGTGATGTGAACCTGAGTTTACTGAGTCCCATGATTTTCCCGGTGAAACAGGAAGCAAAATAATTAGCCAAGAGTAAGGATGGAGAAGGACGTGATGGAGGTTTGCTGAGAGGAGGCATATGACATAATTCTTTAGCATGATAGGCGGGGCCAGCTGAGGGAATTTGAAACCACGATGAGTGGAATGTGGCGAGAGCTACTTTTTCCAGTGCGATATTGGTCCCTCTAGGCGCTCGGTAGTCTGCGTCCGTTTCCTTGGAGACCGAGACAGGCGAGAAAGCATTAGGTCTCTCTGGGAAGTTTGAGTGGCCTTGGTTACCGCGCGATCCACGCTGAGACAAGGAAGTTCGAGAAGCCGAGGAAACAGGCATCCCCCAAAATCGGGGCCCCAAGCCTCGGGACTCTCCTTCCATTCTCCCTAATGGCGCGTAACTTTCCAAAGTACGTGAAAGGGGTACGGAGGAGCGGTGGACTGCGCATGCGTAGCCCCCAACCGAGCGCTGGCTGGGTCCCCTCCGGGTGTCATCCCGCTCTTTTGACCCCGCCCTTATCTCCCTAGCCCCGCCTCTCTTGCGTGTTCTCCGGCTCCCGCTAGGCTTGTGTCCTTAGGGACAGAGGTTTCGGGTTCGAGACCCCATCCCAGTTTAACGCTTGCTGCTTGCATTCCCACGGGTTGGGACTGATGGGAGTTTTCCCCCGCCCCAACGCTTTGCAGACGCAGCCACTCTGGGATCGGCTCCACAGTCCCCCAGTTCCAGGTTCTGGTGAGTCCAGGAGGGCTAGCGTCTGTGTGGGGGTGGGGCTTGCTGACCCGGGGCGTGCCTCAGAACCTCAGTTTTCTCACCATCTTATCAGGAGGTAAGGGTATATTATGCTGCTCTCTCCTTTATCTCTGATTGCATATCTGCTTTCCTATCGGGTCTTTTCTATGCCTTCTGTTTCTCACAGTTCTTAGCATCTCCCCGCCTGAATGTGCTTAGTAAATTCCGGCTGGCTGATGCAAACTTGATAACATTTAGGGAGCACTTACCACATGCTTTACAGATATCTTTTGGAATGTTTGTATCAACCTATGGAGATAGGTTTTTTGATTTGATCCAGTTTACAGACGAGACAATCGAGGCTCAGAGAAGTAAACCCACTTGTTCAAGGTTACAGATATCAGTAAGGGGGCCAGCTGGGATTTGAGCCCATGAGCTGTGTGACTGATTTGTGTTATGTCTGATAGGATTATGTTCCATGGCAGCGGTCCAAGCTGAGAGCCAAGCCATCTACTCTGCCTCCAATCCCACAGACTGTGGGCACTAAGAAAAGTGAAAGGAAGACCTGGTCTACCGTTCAGCCAGGTGGGCAGAGGTCCTTGGACACTTGAGAAGGAGGTGGGGACAGGATGGGGTAGAGGTTCTTGGCCCTTGGTGACAGCATTTATATCAGGGTAGGCTAACTGCTATAACAAACAGTCCCCAGATTTGAAGTATTAATACAGATGCTCGTTGCTCATTTATGTCAAAGTACATTTGTGGATCTGGGGAGCGGGGGTATCTTTTTCACATGATCATTCTGGGGTCTAGGCTCCATCACCTTGTGTCTAGGACATCTTGTAAGGTCCTGAAGTCCTCTGTTGGGTCCTTTTGCATCCAGCAGAGAGAAGAAGGAGAGCAAGAGTATGGATGATCTTGTGGGCAGTTCTTTTTCAGGGCCCAGACTTGAAGTGAAACGCATCACTCCCACTCATATTCCAGTGTCCTTAACTCAGCCACATGCCCACCCTTAACCCCAAGGAAAGATGGGAAATGTAGTCCAGCTAGGAAAAGAAAACAGAGTTTGGTGAACTTGGGATAATCTCTACCACATCACTGTCATGCCTTCCAGGGGAGTTCTGAGGCCTTGGCTTAGGCAGACATGGATTCAGATCTTGGTTCTCTCATCTACTCTCTTGGGAAAGTCATTCATCTCTCTAAGTTTGTCTCCTTATTTTTAAAACGAGGACACTAATGCTTACTTGATATGATTGTTGTGAGAATTAAATGAGAAGAACCGTGTAAAGCCCATTGTTATTCAACCTTATGAGACTCAGCACTCCTTTTAATGACACATATTTTGTAATATTCCTTTAGTATCCTGAAATAAACTTCACAGATAATATAATCTACCTATGTATATAATTTAAAAGTTAATATAATGCCCTAACTGTAAAGAAGAAATACAAAAAGAAATGAAAAAGAAATGCAAAAAGAAATGCAAAAAGGCAAAATGGCTGTCTGAGGAGGCCTTACAAATAGGTGAGAAAAGAAGAGAAGCTAAAGGCAAAGGAGAAAAGGAAAGATATACCCACTTGAATACAGAGTTCCAAAGAATAGCAAGGAGAGATAAGAAAGACTTACTCAGTGATCAGTGCAAAGAAATAGAGGAAAACAATAGAATGGGAAAGACTAGAGATCTCTTCAAGAAAATTAGAGATACATGAAAAGATGGGCGCAATAAAGGGCAGAAATGGTATGGACCTAACTGAAGCAGAAGATATTAAGAAGAGGTGGCAAGAATACACAGAAGAACTATACAAAAAAGATCTTCACGACCCATATAACCACGATGGTGTGATCACTCACCTAGAGCCAGACATCCTGGAATGCGAAGTCAAGTGGGCCTTAGGAAGCATCACTAAGCATAAAGCTAGTGTAGGTGTTGGAATTCCAGTTGAGCTATTTCAAATCCTAAAAGATGATGCTGTGAAAGTGCCAGCAACTTTGGAAAACTCAGCAGTGGTCACAGGACTAGAAAAAGTCAGTTTTCATTCCAATCCCTAAGAAAGGCAATGGCAAAGAATGCTCAAACTACTGCACAATTGCACTCATCTTACACGCTAGTAATGCTCAAAATTCTCCAAGCCAGGCTTCAATAGTACGTGAACGGTGAACTTCCAGTTATTCAAGCTGGATTTAGAAAAGGCAGAGGAACCAGAGATGAAATTGCCAGCATCTGTTGGATCATCAAAAATGCAAGAGAGTTCCAGAAAAACATCTACTTCTGGTTTATTGACTATGCCAAAGCCTTTGACTGTTAATCAAAACACAATGTGGAAAATTCTTAAAGATATGGGAATACCAGACCACCTTACCTGCCTCCTGAGAAATCTGTATGCAGATCAAGAAGCAACAGTTAGAACTGGACATGGAACAACAGACTGATTCCATATCAGGAAAGGAGCACATCAATGCTGTATATTGTCATCCTGCTTATATAACTTATATACAGAGTACATCATGCAAAATGCTGGGTTGGATGAAACACAAGCTGGAATCAAGATTGCCGGGAGGAATATCAATAACCTCAGATATGCAGATGACACCACCCTTATGGCAGAAAGTGAAGAACTAAAGAGCCTCTTGATGAAAGTGAAAAAGGAGAGTGAAAAAGTTGGCTTAAAGCTCAACATTCAGAAAACTAAGATCATGGCAACCAGTCCCATCACTTCATGGCAAATAGATGGTGAAACAGTGGAAACAGTGTCAGACTTTATTTTGGGGGGCTCCAAAATCACTGCAGATGGTGACTACAGCCATGAAATTAAGACGCTTGCTCCTTGGAAGGAAAGTTATGAACAACCTAGATAGCATATTAAAAAGTAGAGACATTACTTTGCCAGCAAAGGTCCGTGTAGTCAAGGCTATGGTTTTTCCAGTGGTCATGTATGGATGTGAGAGAAGAGAGAGAAGTCTCTCAGTCGTGTCAGACTCTTTGCGACTTCATGAGCCTACCAGGCTCCTCTGTCCATGGGATTTTCCAGGCAAGAGTACTGGAGTGGGTTGCCATTTCCTTCTCCAGGGGGTCTTCCTGACCCAGATACCAAACCTGGGTTTTCCTCATTGCGGCAGATTCTTTACCTTCTAAGCCACCAGGGAAGCCCAGAGTTGGGCTATAAAGAAAGCTGAGCACCGAAGAATTGATGCTTTGGAACTGTGGTGTTGGAGAAGACTCTTAAGAGTCCCTTGGATTGCAAAGAGATCCAATCAGTCAATTCTAAAGGAAATCAGACCTGAATATTCATTGGAAGGACTGATGCTGAAGCTGAAACTCCAATACTTTGGCCACCTGATGCGAAGAGCTGACTCATTGGAAAAGACCCTGATGCTGGGAAAGATTGAAGGCAGGAGGAGAAGGGGACGACAGAGGATGAGATGGTTGGATGGCATCACCGACTTGATGGACATGAGTTTGAGCAAGCTCTGGGAGTTGGTGATGGACAGGGAAGCCTGGCATGCTGCAGTCCTTGGGATAGCAAAGAGTCGGACATGACTGAGCAACTGAACTGAACTGAAAGGAACTGTAAAGTAAAGGAAAAGGCAAGTTATTTACATTTAAATAGCATAGGTTTCAGTATGTAAATGTTTAGGATGGAGCCCACTAGAAGACATGAGCAAGTCATCAGAAGCTTACTCATAGATGTGGCATCATGGTGAATGTAACAGTTACAAATGCAGACTGACACATGATGGAAATTGGGGATTCAAATTCCAAAAGGGATTTTTCATCGCAACCCGATCTCCAAAGTTGTGTCATCTCTTACTAAACAAAACAAGGCACAGTCTTCCCCTGATTATAGCTGCTTCACTGGAAAATTCAGCATTATGTTGTTGTTTAGTTGCTAAGTTGTGAATGACTCTTTGTGACCCCATAGACTGCAACACCAGGCTTCCCTGTCCTTCACTATCTCCCAGAGTTTGCTCAAACTCATGTCCATTGAGTCGATGATGCCATCCAACCATCTCATCCTCTGTCACCCCCTTTTCCTCCTGCCCTCAATCTTTCCCAGTATCAGGGTCTTTTCCTGTGAGTTGGGTCTTCGCATCAGATGGCTATAGTATTGGAGCTTCAGCTCCAGCATCAGTCCTTCCAGTGAGTATTCAGCGTTGATTTCCTTTAGGACTGACTGGTTTGATCTCCTTGTAATCCAAGGAACCCTTGGTAGTCTTCTATAGCACCACAATTCGAAAGCATCAATTCTTTGGCACTTAGCATTCTTTATGGTCCAATTCTCACATCTGTACATGACTACTGGAAAAACCATAGCTTTGACTATATGACCATTTGTTGGCAAAGTGATGTCTCTACTTTTTAATATGCTGTCTAGGTTTGTCATAGCTTTCCTTCCAGAGAGCAAGCATCTTTTAATTTCTTGGCTGTAGTTACTGTCTGCAGTGGTTTGGAGCCCAAGAAAATAAAATCTGTCACTGTTTCTGCTTTTTTCCATTTTTTTTTTTTTTTGCTTTTTTCCATTTTTATCAGTTCAGTTCAGTTCAGTTGCTTAGTCGTGTCTGACTCTTTGCGACCCCATGGACTGAAGCACGCCAGGCCTCCCTGTCCATCACCAACTCCTGGAGTTTACTCAAACTCATGTGCATTGAGTCGGTGATGCCATCCAGCCATCTCATCCTGTCATCCCCTTCTCCTCTTTCCTTCAATCTTTCCCAGCATCAGGGTCTTTTCCATTGAGTCAACTCTTCTCATGAGGTGGCCAAAGTATTGGAGTTTCAGCTTCAGCATCAGTCCTTCCAATGAACACCCAGGACTGATCTCCTTCAGGATGGACTGGTTGGATCTCCTTGCAGTCCAAGGGGCTCTCAAGAGTCTTCTCCAACACCACAGTTCAAAAGCATCAATTTTTCGGTGCTCAGCTTTCTTCACAGTCCAACTCTCACATCCATACATGACCACTGGAAAAACCATATCCTTGATTAGATGGACCTTTGTTGGCAAAGTAATGTCTCTGCTTTTTAATATGCTATCTAGGTTGTTCATAACTTTCCTTCCAAGGAGTAAGCTTCTTTTAATTTCATGGCTGCAGTCACCATCTGCAGTGATTTTGGAGGCCCCCAGAAATAAAGTCTGACACTGTTTCCACTGTTTCCCCATCTCTTTGCCATGAAGTAATGGGACCAGATGCCATGATCTTAGTTTTCTGAATGTTGAGCTTTAAGCCAACTTTTTCACTCTCCTCTTTCACTTTCATCAAGAGGCTCTTTAATTCTTCTTCACTTTCTGCCATAAGGGTGGTGTCATCTGCATATCTGAGGTTATTGATATTCCTCCCGGCAATCTTGATTCCAGCTTGTGCTTCTTCCAGTCCAGCATTTCTCATGATGTACTCTGCATATAAGTTAAATAAGCAGGGTGACAATATACAGCCTTGACATACTCCTTTTCCTATTTGAAACCAGTCTGTTGTTCCATTTTTAGAGTTACATGTAAAACAAAATCAGGTTCTGGGATCAGATCATTATCATCGAATTTTACCTATGTCAGTATCTAGTAGGACTTAGAAAAGGTAAACAGGATAGGAGAATTC